TCACTAAGTGTGATTGTATGACAGATATTTTCAATTCTCCCCTGGTGCATGAGCCACCAGTGCCCAAACAGCCATTCACACATGGTGAGAGCTGATTTTCTTCAAAGTGATTCAGTTACGTGAAGATGAAAGTGAGAAAGTATCTGACCAAATTATGCTACATTAAATAATAGAGAATAAAACAGCTTTTGTGGGCCAATAAAATCTGGAAAGGAAAATATATTTGCAAGTAAATGGTTCTTAGTGCAAGAGTATTATGCAAACGATTTCACGTTGAATCAGTATTCTTGTTTTCAGTAACGAGAGCCAGTTGCCGTCTGCAAACTGGCAACAGAATAGCCGATAAATTACTATTTATCAAGACAGGATTGCGCCAGGCTGACCTTACCAATATGACAGCCGTAATGGTGAAGTAGGATGTGAAAATTTTTTATTCGGTAACTTCATGCTTCGAAACTATAAGTAATATTTGAATAAAAGCTAAAGGTCTCTTAAAAATAAGAATTTAGCCACCCACGGTCGCTTAAAATGGTTCAAGGAATGATAATTAAGTTTTTCCACAATTAGACGAGTAGGCCTTACGATGCAACTGAATTTTACTTCAGCCTTGACTCCCTAGAGGCCATCTCATCCAGGATTAAAATCTGATTCATCCAAGCCCGAAGGGAAGCGATAATGTCGCCATGATACTCGCAACCTGGTATTGCATCGCGTTGAGGGTGCTGATAAGCCTCAGGTGAAGACGTCTATTGAATTGAAATAGATATCGCTAAGTGCATAGTAAATTATGAGCCTGTACCCTAGCAACAATTATGTTCATGTTGAGAATTCTTTTACGGAATGAATTGGCCCAAAGATTGCATCATAAAATTGAAGTTTATTATCCTTTGATGGTCATCTCTTGAGGAGGTGATTAGCAATAATCGAAAACCATGCATTAAGGTATGAAGCTTTACTTTTATATACGAAGAGAAACTTGGTTTCGATGAATCTCCTGAGATAACATTGTTAGGAGGACCTTCATTTCGAATGAAAATACATGAAGAAGAGATTCATTTTTCGATCTCACCAGATGAGGGCGGAAGAATACTCGTGGACTGCGTCAAAATGAATATAATATAAAAGCTAAACAACTGCAGTAAAACGATTTTCATCCGTCCTCATCTGGTGAGATCGAAAAACGAATCTCTTCTTCATGTACCTTCATTCGAAATGAAGGTTCTCCTAACAATTTACTTTTATAGTCAATCAAATAAATTAAAAGTTGTTTGACCTTGTTTTCGCAACTTGGTCATAATGGTAGGACGACTTATAGCAACGCACCTTGTCCTGAGTCCATTGTATGCATAATTATTTCCAAAGTCGAACCGTGGAGGTGGTACATTCCCAGACGTTTCGCCGGCATCGTAGTCGGCATCTTCAGTGAGTTTCACCATTCGTAGCACTACATTAGAACTCGTCAAAGAGACAAGTGAAGCCGATCCTTTGACCAAACGTGTGCTAAACAGCTGTGGTATCTCCCATTCTTCCTTGGTCTATTTACATTTCATATATCCTTCTATCACGCCTTCACTGTCACAATATTTTACTTGCTTAATAAAATGTGGTTGGTGCCCTTTTTTAGCGGCTTTTCCGCACTCCACGCTGGCCTTAGCACCATCCTTCATCTTTGTGCTGGGAATGTTGATCTCAGTCTGCCATATTGTTACGCAGTCCTTATTCCTTAGGTCTTACAACAGTCTCTCTCTTGTCCCGTAAGATCCGTCTGCCCTCTCTCTGGTTCACATATTTCACTCGACCCCTGCCTCTCATCTATACAACGAAAGGAGACTGCGACCACACAAAAGGACACACCATCTTGGTCATCATATCTTCGATCAAATGAATTAAGTTAAATGTTTATTTAAAAAAGATAACTGCCTCCATATCTCACTGTGATTGGTTGTATTGCTACGGTCTGTAGTCATCCCAGGTCGCATAAAGTGATGTAGAGCTGATAGTTAACTCATATATGCGATATGTATTCACCCTATTTCAGTGAAACTGATGAGGGACTGGTAGCTGAATTTTCCCACAATCATTTGAGTAGACCTTACGTTTCCATGCCATTTCGCATGGCCTTTCTTCCTAAAAGGTATTCCCATCCGGGCTGAAGTGGACTGTAGTTTCAACCTCGCTTTGGTCTCATCCGCACCCTCAGCAAGACTCAAGCTATGATAATGTAGCGTATACTCTCGACACATTAACCGCAAAGCAAGACTGTCGTGAGTTCCCTTGGGTCACAGGGCAGATGTAAATTTCAAGGAAGGTTAGACATTTTCCCACATTCAGGAGTGGGATTATCGATGGAGTAGAGTTTTATTTGCTAGAACATTACTTATTTTTCGTTTTTTATAAGTAGAATATCAAGACTACTAGCAGATCATATAGGTAAGATGTGAACTCCAGTCGAAACGTAAGTTTACTTATATGATTGTGGGAAATTGAACCACTTATATAAGCAAGCAATATAAAAGATGATAGTTAAATCTTCTCAAAAGACAATACAACTGAGCTATTCCCATTCAGATTTTCCAGTTCGCATGTGAAACCTGGGTTCGATGCCCGTTGACGGTGTTGATGAGGCCAAGCAAGGTGGAAACTGCAGGCCAGCTTGGATGAGAATACCTTCAAGGAGGTAGGGCCAAGTGAAATTCACAGGCATCTTGACGCGTCTCATGTGATGATGAGTAGATGCAACTGTCTGCCCTTCATCACCTCATGCAACCTAGGCTGACTACAGGTCTTTTTCAAAATCTACCGATGCTTATTATGAGTATTAGTGTTTAGTGTTGCCTTTCAGCTCTGCCGTTCTCTCATCTTATCTCTACCACACTCTCGCATTCAGGCCAGACGGAGGCAACGGCTGTCCTGTGGCAGAGCATGAGTCCGATAGAGAAGAGCGCGAAATGTTCTCCAGCTCCCCTGACAGCTTCAGTCTACTGGGACCGGTGAGCAAGGCAACCGCCATGCCTCGGACCGACAGCTCATTGTACACCCACTTTGAGGGCGACTTTCGAGGCGGACTTGCAGAAGCTATGATCGAAGCCTTGCCAATGACGACAGCCTCGAAGGAGTCAGAAGACGTTACGGTGAAGCATGAGTCGGAGACATGCGAGCTGCAGCAGACGCTTGCCGTACTCCAAGTTGCTGGGTCAACAGGACTTTCGAAAGTGGAATCATCGTCTTCTTCAGATGAGGCTGTATTAGTGGCCACAAGAAGGTTATCGGCTACCTCACCTCCAGAACCGT